TTGCACATGACATTCATTCTTGTGAGAATGTTCAGTCCCATACTGTCCCACTGATACCACTGGTACTACACAATAGAATAAAGTTATTTCGGTTTTTAAACCTTTCCTGAATTATTCTTGTCTTTTACTGTAGGATGATATAAACTGTACAGATTCCTAGTGATCATTCTTTTCTAAAAAACATAGTAAGAAATCCTTTGTACAGTTGCAGCAATACTTCCATTTTGTGAGCCTGACAGAAATGAATCAGACTGATGTTAAATCAGTCTTACTAAAAAGCTGATGTAATTGTGGCTAGATGATTCAGAAGAAAGAGAACTCAACCTGCTGCATAATGAAAAAATAGAGACTTCCTCTGCCAGCTTAAAAAATATATATTTATATTCAATGTCCAATTACATTTGTGTCAAAATGAAGCCTGTCAGTTATAGATCATATAATAAAATCTGCCTAAAGAAGCTGTAATAGGAACAGAATGTGTATCTGTAAGACATACATACATGCCCATATAACAATGACTGGTAGAAACTTGAGAGTCTGCTCTACTCCATTCAGATGCTAGCTGATCCCCATGCTTTCCAGCCTAATTCATCTCTGCTGCAAATATGATAAAGTCAATTGATTTACACCTGGAGATATATTTATGCTGGATTTCATTAAAATACTCAGGCATCTGAAATTTTCAAGAGCCAACTTTTGGGACGAAAGAAAATTTTTAAGTTATACAATGGTTTTCAGAGTATGTTTTTTTTTTATAAGCAGTAAATACTAATTCATTATAGAAGTTTAGCAGCATTCTCCTGCCATCAAGCAAAAGATCATAGGTAACCTTCAACAATATGCCCTTGGAAATGGGTGAAAATATTGTATTTTTTAAAAACTTCATAACTTATACAGTTCCTTTGAAAATATGTATCTTTCAGTTTTTCAAATTGTCTGATCATAATTTTTCATTCCCATAAGAGATCCCTAATCCTGAAATGACAATTTATTCAATATCAATAAGGCATACAAGTATGACTTCCCAGGCTCAGCCACAAACTCTGCTAATGTGCCTTGTTCTGAATAGATGAAAGCCTCTATATCTGTTTTATTGATGCTTTCAAAATTCATTGAGCTTCAGAGAGATGGTGATGCACCTGATAATAACAGGCTACTTCACTTTTTGCTAGTATTACTCCAGCAAATGAAAGGTATATAAGCACTGTAAATATCACTGATGTTAGTACATACCAGCAGGATATTAATCCATTTATCTGTTTTTTCAAGAAATAACTTTAATTTTCTTGAACAAAACATGAATAATCACGAATGTAAGTATGTAACAACACTTTGCTAATTTAGAGTCTGTTTCGTGTTTCCATTACAGGTTGTGAAAAAGATGTGTTGATTGATATCCTCACACAGCGCTGCAATTCACAGCGGCTTATGATTGCTGAGGCGTACAGAGACATGTACGGCAGGGTATGACACAGCGCTTTGTACTTTCATTACTTCTGTCTCTCCTGTATCCAGTGCAGTTGCTCAGCCCTTCTCTCAAGTCAATCACTGGAACCAAAAGCCTGTCAGGCAGCTGGCTGACACCAACAGACTGGCACACAACTTTGCTCATGTAACTACTGATACCTCTGAAAGTTTCATATTGTCATCTATATAACAGCAGAAGTACATCTGCCACTCACAAAGTTAAATAAAGGGGACATGAACAGTTCCTAGTTCATTCTCCTCCTTTATTGACCAAAGCAGAATTTCTGGACAGACTTATTTCTTTGTCTATATGCTTTTGCAGGGTTCTGCATTACTTCTTAAAGTTTTTTGGAATACACAGTAAAGTAGTATTGCATTTGGGTTGAAACACCAAAGAGAAACACCATACCAGCAATTACAAGTAGTTGTATCTGATGCACTGGTTTATATTCTTATCTCAAGCACCAACATTCTCAGACCTCATACCATGTAATTCTATTCATAATCTAAGCACAATACTTGTCTGAGCTGCTTAATGTTAAATTTATGAATCTCTAAAAGGTGTTTCAAAAAATTTAGAATCGTAGAAACATAGAATGGTTAGGATTGAAAAGGACCTTAAGATCATCTAGCTCCAACCCCGCTGCCATGGGCAGGGACACCTCACACTAGACCATGTCACCCAAGGCTCTGTCCAACCTGGACTTGAACACTGCCAGAGATCTACCATTTCTTCAGGCAGCCTGTTCCAGGGCCTCACCACCCTTACAGAAAAGAACTTCTTCCTTATTTCTAACTTCTCCTGTTTCAGTTTAAACCCATTACCCCTTGTCCTGTCGCTACAGTCCCTAATGAAGAGTCCCTCCCCAGCACCCTTGTAGGCCCCCTTCAGATACAGGAAGGCTGCTACGAGGTCTCCACGCAGCCTTCTCTTCTCCAGGCTGAACATCCCCAACTTTCTCACCCTATCTTCATACAGGAGGTGCTGCAGTCCCCTGATCATCCTCGTGGCCCTCCTCTGGACTTGTTCCAGCAGTTCCATGTCCTTTTTATGTCGAGGACACCAGAACTGCACACAACACTAAGCAGACTAAAGGGGCAGGATCACCTCCTTCAACCTGCTGGTCACGCTCCTTTTGATGCAGCCCAGGATATGGTTGGCTTTCTGGGCTGCAAGCGCACACTGCGGCTCATGTTCATTTTCTCATCGACCAACACCCCCAAGTCCTTCTCTGCAGGGCTGCTCTGAATCTCTTCTCTGCCCAACTTGTGGCTGTGCCTGGGATTGCTCCAACTCAGGTGTAGGACCTTGCACTTGTCATGGTTAAACTTCATGAGGTTGGCATCAGCCCACCTCACAAGCGTGTCGAGGTCCCTCTGGATGGCATTCCTTCCCTCCAGCGTATCAACCGAATCACACAGCTTGGTGTCATCAGCAGACTTGCTGAGGGCGCACTCAATCCCACTGCCCATGTCACCAACAAAGATGTCACCAAAAGACCACTGAGGGACACAAGTTATTACTGGTCAATTAATGGGTATTGAGCCATTGACCGTAACTCTTTGCGTGAGGCCATCCTGGCCAGACTCAATTCTGACTGGGCCTTAGCTTTCCTGACCTGATTCCTAGCTTTCCAGACAACGTCCCTGTATTCTTCCCAGCTTGTCTGTCCTCCCTTCCACCTTCCATAAGCTTCTTTCAAGACATAAAAAGACAGCTTTTTTAAAAAAAAAGAACCAAAACAAACCCCCCCAAAAATTACCCATATTTACTATATATAAAAACATACACAGAGATAGTTATCCTCATTCTATTTTAGATCTACTATTGCTAACTAAATGAATTTGGGAATGTTAAAATGCCTGCATTTTCCTCAGTTACCTCAGCTATATAAGGACAAAATAAGTATATAAGGACAAAAATAACAGCAACACCTTTTGTAAAATCCCTGTGAAATCTAGCGATGAAAAGTGCTGTATTGGAAAGGTAAAGAAAATGCTCTGATTAAATTGACCAGACATGCCCTTCCCCTCACAGAAGACAGCCAAAATTAAAAAAAAAAAAAATCCAACTTTTTTCTTCTCCTGAAGACTGAAAACCTAATGGCTCACTGGAAAATGCTTTGAAGGTCAGTGTATAGTTGCCACTGAATCCATCAGCATGAGTGAGGACAGTGAGTCTGCAGAAATACTACCGTGTAGCCATCAGCCTTAGAGTTAACTAGAAATGGATCATTCACAAACTCCACAGTAACTGCTGATGTGGTAGCGTGTTACACCATTTGTCTGTTCACCAGTTGAACGGTGTATTTTCTTTTTTGGATAGCTGAGCAGTTTTCTAGGATGGGATGTGTCTTGCCCTGACCTGCTGCAGTTTACACTTCAGAAGACAGTTTAGCACACACTGGTGATAGCATTTTACTGGCTGTAATCCATATTACGGGACACACTGCATTGGGCAAATGTGCCATTTGGCAGTCCCAGTTTATGAGTGGCAAACTCTGCACAACAGAGAAGACACAGCTATGCAGTAACAACTATAGCATTCTCAGTTTCATCTACGGTAAACCTGTCAGTTCAATCCTAAACCCTCTTTAATTTCAATTCAGTCTACTCAATATGGTTGCTACTGTTCTCATTCATTTGACAAATGTAAAGCGTGACACGTCAGAATTAGAAATAAATATAGAAAAAGAAAGTAAAACCCTGAACTGGCCTTAAGATTTCTTCTTACAATTAGTCTTCCAGGCTCTCTACAACAGAGATGGTTAGGAAATGTTACTAATGACAACTTAGTTCTCTTATTTTTCAGTATTTCCCTTAGTTCCGATTGCAGGAGTAATTTTTAACTATTACTAATCCATCTTCCCACAGGCATGTAGTCAGAAGTAAAGTCTTAATGAATTAATTTCTATTTCATGTGTGATTTAGTGGCTGTCAAATGCATCCAATGTGCTTTCACTGAAGACTGCGTATGTTTCTTCATCATAAATTCAATTTTTAATGTGGATATGTCCCCATGCATTGCTGTTCTAGCTACTAATTTAATTATATTCAGATATGTATCAAAACCAAATTACAGGCTTGAAAAAGCTGCAGCTCCGAAAACAATAGTTTCTATAATGGGAACTGTTTCTGGTACGCCTTTAAATTCAGACTTAGGTCCAAAAATATCTGACAGCTGCCTAGCACCGTATGCAAGATACATAAAAAAAAATTAGTGCACAAGTATCCTCTTAATCAGAAACTGTAACAGTGTAACTAACAAGCTTTGGCATTTGCACTGTTTTGAAGGATGCTATTGGGAAAGGGGAGAGTGAGAAGGAAACTCCCATCCATTACTCAGGTACCTGGCAAGCAAGTGCCGAGACACACGCCGGGGAAGAAGAGGGTTCCTTTTTATTACTTCAGCATCTGTCACAAGGTGTGAATTCACTTTGAGTGTAATATACACACAAACTGGAGCACATAACCAGTAATCCAAAGCAGGTGTTTTTATGTATTAGAAGCAATATGGATGATTTAAATTATTCACATAGTAGATAACACTGAAAAAGGCACAAGAAACTGCCTGTGTTCATGGGATTTGAATTCCAAAGGTGCTTTGCTCCCACGGATTCACACAGGGAATGTGCCAAGGGAGCTGCAGATGCTTTGCAGTGGTATTCAAGCTCACAAGCCTTTAAGTAGTAGTAGCACTTAAAGCCCTGAATTTTCTTCTGTCTTCTAATGAACAAAAAAAATCAACAATCCTATATGGTCTGCTAGCTTGTGTATCTATTGTCATCTCATCCATACTATTAGAAGAAGCAGGTACTATTTAAAAGAATATCTTTCTTACTTAATTTTAGCCAGAATTAATCTTCAATAGTTCATCTTTATTCATTTGCAGAGAAAATCACAGATACATTTTTAAAGTTGTCCTAATCAAGTGTGACTACTGAAATAATCCTGTCTATGCCTTTTCTTTTTATTTTCAAGGATCTGATAACGGACCTAAAGGAGAATCTCTCTCATCACCTGAAAGAAGTCATGGTTGGCTTGATGTATCCACCTGCCTCCTATGATGCCCACGAGCTCTGGCATGCCTTGAAGGTACCTGTCAAATTCAGTGTTTCTTAAGAGTCTCAGTCACTAATTATAGTACTGAACAGGTTAAATTGATTTTATTTTTTTTTTACATTCAAACAGTTGATAAACAGCTGGAAGTTAATACACTAGATAGTGTACTACTACATAGTACTCTAGGTCATCAGAAATACAGTGCTATATGAAGTTTATTCAACAGTATGCTAAAACCACCATCAATAATAAATACCCTTGTCATGTAATAAATACAACCAATTTAATACCCATGGTAAACTCAGTAACTGAAGAAATATTTATACAGGGAAAAAGCCCTGATCCTGCAAGCATGTATGTACGTCACAAACAAAATTAATTGGAGAAACACCTCAAAAAAGAAAACTTTTTTTCTTGTCCTTCAGACACTTAAACCAACGCACTTTTTAGGACTACTGCTTCATTTTTAATTGTGGTTGGCATTAAAGAATTGTGAAATATCATTAGTAGCACTGCAGGCAGGATTTTTATTAAAACTATTGACAAGATTGCTAAAGTTATATTTTTCTAAATGTAGCTCAAAGTTAAACTTTCTTATCTTGATTTTAACTTTCTATCTTGACCTGGATTTATACAGCCAAAGTGAAAAACAGGCCATGTGTGTCTCCAGGCTCAGGCCCAATGTCATGTTCTCCCCATTATCCTAAACACAGAATACTCACCAACACCACACCTGTGCATATTAGAAGCAGCATATCTTGTGTCAATTCAAGTTTATAAAATTAACTCAAATTTTGTGGGAAAATACAGTGATTTGCAGCTCTGCATACATGGCCATACTGCTTACCTTAAATAACAAGTTCTGCAGTAGACATAGAGTCCATTAATATTTCTAAAAAAATAAAAATAAAATTAAAAAAAAAAAAAGCAAAACATAATAGTTGTGCTCATATCAACTTCAGATTGCCTGAACACTTGCTTGCTGGGGATATATGCTCAATCTTTGCATCTGATTTCTTTCAAATTCTTACTAAAGTTCTAAAATTCTACCTATTATGTTTCTGCCAACACCAGTCTTGCTTCATTCCCCTCGTTAATCTACATGCTGAAATTCAGATCAAGTAGGTATATATTTTAAATACAGGGCTCTATTATTCATCTGAAGTCATTTTCTATTTAAACAGGTAGACTATGCAAAAAGTACACCCTGCTTTGCTCCAACAGAAACTGCTTTTAATTGTTTTGTTACTTCTGATAAGCACAGTACTGCTGTCTTCTAAAAGCTGTGGTTTCTGCTAACAACTTTTCATACTTAATTCTTTCCACACAGGGAGTAGACACAGAAGAAAAATGCCTAATTGATATATTAGCCTCAAGAACAAATATGGAGATCTTCCAGCTGAAAGAAGCCTACTTAATGCGTAAAGTGACTTACAAGTGCAAAGTAGTAGTTATACTATGTGTTCTCCCAGAGTATTAGCACATATGAAGGAATTGAACTACAAAAATGATTTCTCAGTACTAACTTGTTCCCTTCCTCCCGTAACTATATTCAAAAGGCTGGAGCAGAATGTTTTAATTTGAAAATACACCATGGGATTTTGAGGTGTATTGCTGCCTATGACATTTGAAATACTCTGAAGACACATTTGGGGCTTTTCAGAGACTTCTGCATACCTTATTCAAAAAAAAGTACAGTACCTGTTTTCCTTCCAAAAGTCCTTACTCAGGCTGGATGCTCCACTCACCTGCCTTGATGAAACATTTGAGTATCCTGCCACCACACAGCACCCATGGGTGGGTGGAGAGGTGAGGCAGAGCACAGGCTAAGGCCCCCCAGCAGGCAGAAGCACCTGGCAGGGCCCAGACTGACCTAGCTCCATGTAGAACCTGCTTTGGGTTACTGTGGAACAATCACCACAGAAAATGGACAAGTATTTGCACCCTATTTATTTCTCCTTTGTTTGCTAGATTAGTGCTATTCAGAATATGTTCATTTGTGATGTAGATTATATGTTTTTTGGTTCACCCTAGAATATAATAATGATCTTCAACAAGATATTGATTCTGAGACTTCAGGCCACTTCAGAGATACACTCATGAACCTTGCTCAGGTACCGTAAGAACAAGTAGTATACTTGCATTTCTAAAAAATTCATAACTTTTGATAATATTTAAGAAGTCTTAAATTTTAAGGTGACTGTGGTTACAGCTAGTTCAATAGGGCTACACTTTTGAACAAAAAAGTGGAAAGCAAAAGAAGAAGAGAACTTGAATTCCTTCTTCTACTTTGACTTTTGCTTTCAGATGGAGGCAAAGGTCAACAGACTATTTTATTGAGTAAGTCCCTGGATATTCAACTGCTGGCCCTCTGCTCAACCTGTCTCATCTCAAAAGGAGTCTGTGTGCATGTACAAATGAGCTTCTCATTTTTAAAGACCACTTTTCTCCATTGTTAGGATATACAGTTCATAATTCAGTCTAGGCATTATGTAAAAAAGGAGATATATCCACATTTGACTATGAAAGTAAGCGTTAAATAGTTTTTTAAAACATTATGTTCTTTGTGTTACTGCATATGCTAAATCACAATACTTTTGCATGGAGGCAAATTCTCACTACCAACACACCAACTCTGGCAGTTACCAACTTGGGAGTATTATATTACAATGCTGGTCAACTTTGTCAGATACTGAGTTCCCATTCTCACTATAGTCACTGTGCTCATTATATTAAAAGTCCTTTTTAAACAAAAGTATAGTGACAAAAAAAGACTGCCAGGAGATAACAGCATACACAAGGTATAGCATAATATATATGTCTGGGGAAAACAGTAAGACCTGAAATAGCAGCAGACTTTACTGAGATAGAGAGATAAAGCGCAAATGTTTCAAACGTAGAAACTATAAACAGGAAGCATTTATTTTCTAATGTTGGATGTTTTTTCCCCCCAATAATGAAAATTTATCCCTGCTTAAACATGAAGAGCTACAGGTTAAGCAACCTCACTTCTCATGTATATTAAATAAATGAGACACATTTTACTCATCAAAAGAACACATTTAAATTATCTGGGACTACATTATTAGTCCTTATTTTCTTACAGCACAAATACTGATGAAGAGGTCTGGGGCAACTCTGATAAGAAATAATCAGTGAATGGCAAATGTTACTCTTACCCTTGTTTTCCCCTCATAGTTATATATTACAGTAAACAATATAACATCAGTAATACTGGAAATGGTGATGGGATGGGCGTGGTAAAGTAAAAGCTCATTTACAATGGGACTAAAAAAGGGTTAGGCTTACCCACTTCCTCCATTTCTTCTACTCATAAGACCATGGGTCATTCCAGAGTTCCTCTTCTTGAAGGAAGCAAAGATACCACACCACAACTTGAAGGTATTTTCTACAGTTACAAATTCAACCACTGAATATACTGATCCAATCTAAAAGCCCATATGTGTATCTTTTTTCCCCCCAGGGAACAAGGATGGAAGGTTATGCAGATCCTTCTACAGCTGCTCAGGATGCAATGGTAAACATGTGCTCCTCTCAAAAAAAAAAAAAAAAATTATGAATGTTGAAGTGATTTAGGACTTACTTAAAATCTTCTGCATTTGTTTCCCTTTTCCCTATGTTAGATTCTATGGGAAGCATGTCAGCGAAAAACAGGCGAACATAAAAACATGCTGCAAATGATTCTCTGCAACAAGAGCTACCAGCAGTTGTGGATGGGTAATCCAGCAGTTCAGCTGTTTGAACAAAAGAGTGGAAAGGAAAAATCTCACTATCTATCTAGTAAAACTACAGTTTACACACCAAGAAGCTCAGTATGCAGCAGGGTATTAGCCTGAAACCTAAGTGCGAACTGTTGGAGTTCCCAAACTCCCACTGATACTAATGGGACTTTGGAAGTAATGCAAAATTCTGAAACTTAGCCTGATGACTACAGACAGCTGTAGATAGGACAGACATTGGGATGCCCAGTAACAGAGAGAAGAATGCATGACTAAAGAAAAGCATATGCTATGCCTGCACTGAGTTTACACGCAGCATGATGAGGCAGATTTTTCTTATGTTCTTCATAAGTAACTCTGTTATGAGGGAAAACACCTTGGGAGAGGCAGTTGGAGTATCTTCAACAAATGTTTGTACGTGAAAACACGTTACTGTGTTGTAGCTTCTCCCTGGAAGTTTCAAAGAAGTTTTTGATGGAAGCACTTCAGGGTCCACATCTGCTCTGTTGTAACAAACATACACACAGAAACAGAAGCATAATGGAACATTTTTATTTAAAATAAGTAATCAGACATAATTACAGATTGCAAGAAATTTATGTGAGATCATCCAGATCTTCCACTGTAGAAAAGAAACCTGTTGTACCTGGTTGGTGGCAAAAAGTCTTTTGCTCTGCAGTGGAAAAATAGTCTGTTTATCACTATGCAGCCAGATCTATTTCTTATGTCAACTTCTAACAGTAGCTTAGAACTACATTGCTGTCATGGATCAACAACTTAATTCTGTCATGATCTGCTCTCTTTCTGCAACAGTGATTTGAGGGCTCTGCATGTAATATAATCCTCCGTAAGCTTTCTAGTAAACAGTGAGTTGAAAATTTTCCCCCTTTCCTAAAGGAGAAAGCAAGCCCTGTATATTTGTGTGTCTGGATACCTGCATTATGCCAATTTTAGCCAACCTGAGCAAGGAAGTTGTCTTAATGACATGACATTCTTACAAGTTTAGTAAACAGAGGTTGCTAGAGAGAGAATTTATTGAAGCCCCCAGTGAAACAGAGGCTTTGGCATGCACTCATTGTATACTGGAGAACCCAGAGAGAGAATGTTGTGGAAGGCAGGTTTCAGGCTATTTATTTAGATTGCCTCACCTGGGAGTATAAGCCTAATGAAACACTGAGAATAAACCGTGTGCGTGTGTGTGTGTGTGTGTGTGTATGTATGTGTATATATATATATATATATATATATAACTCCATAGTTATAATACTGGGGGTAAGAAGGAAAACAAAAGCAAGCTGATCATTACTAATAAACTAGAATAAAGCAAGATTATTTTTTTTTCCCCCCAAGTTTTCCAGGAGTTCCAAAGTATCTCTGGGCAAGACATCGTAGATGCCATTAATGAATGTTATGATGGATACTTTCAAGAATTACTGGTTGCAATAGGTAACGTAAAAATATTCTTTTACACCAGCAGTAATATCTTAAAATCTAGTATGGTATCTCTGATGTATTAAATGTATTTTTTTCTGATCTTTTTATTCACTTTAATATATTGTGTAACAGATTTCCATAGATCATTAGAAAGGAATATGTGAACTATTTTTCCACGTTTGTGTAAATCTGAAAACATATATGTGCAGCACTAGCTTCACACTGAGCAGAACTGGTATCTGCTATTTGATTACAAATTGTGTGATTGATCATAACTGCATAACCAACTGAATCTACACATTAAATAAACTGGCAAAGTTTTCAGGACTTCAGTGGTATATAAAAAAGTTCCAAGCTTTATGTGCCTTTGTTTTCCATTTATAGAATAATGATAATATTTCTACAAAGACATCATGTGAGTATATTCACTGATACTTAGTAAGTCCCTTGATGCAACAGCAATGGACACCCACCCAAAATAAATACCAGAGGTTTAAAATCACAAATGTAGTTATGTTTGTGAAGACAGGTAAATGATTTTAAGATGAGTCATGGACAACACTACCCAGCTTTGTTCTGACTATTATTAATGAACTAGAACAAAGCAAGATTTTCTTTTTCCCCAAGTTTTCCAGGAATTACAAAATATCTCTGGACATGACATCATAGATGCCCAAAACAAACAGAAATTGTTTTATAATAATCTAATGTTTACTTGTTGCAACTGTTCCCTCCTAGTTCTCTGTGTTCGTGACAAGCCTGCCTACTTTGCTTACAGGCTTCATAATGCAATCCATGTAAGTAGTCTTTCTTCTTCACCTATCACATAAATTAGCTTCCCTATCTTTATGTCTGGTTGATTATTCTTAAGAACTTACAAATCAGACCAATCAATCTTTAAGGTGTGATTGTGTGCTTTAAAACTATTGTTGCACACATAAATTTCAAAGCAGCAGTGCCTAAGCAACAGTTAGGATGTAACAGTAACAATAAAAGTTTAAATATTTAGATTCCTTAAAAAAGGTGTGTGGTAACTTTGTCCTCTTTTTTTCTGACTTGAAAACCTTTCTTTTCTATGGATTATATCTCCCCCTGCTGTGCAGAACTCAAAGTGCACTTTTCTTACTACACAATTTTTGTCTCTAGTTTTCAAAAGTATCACTAAAAATCAAATCATAAATTAATGTTACATAAACAAAATTGGTCATACTTTCTTCTGGGACTCAATGTCCCAGGTTCTTTTCATGTGTATGTGCTAACATACTAAAACAAATGAGAGAGAAGAAGAAACGTGGGTAAATGCAAAGAAACACCTACAAATTCTTCTTATTAAAGGCCACTGAAGACATTCTCTTTTTTTTTGTTTTGTTTTTGTTTGGGTTTTTTTTTTATTCACTAGTGAAAATAATGAGGCATTATGTTACATAAAATTAAAGTATACTTTGTGAAGGCTAATCTTTTAAGTGTATAGGCCATAATGCTTTATAAGACAGATTTAACATAGGCATCAAATATGTATGGAATTCTCTATATGCAGCTTTTTAACACTTTTTTTTTTTTTTTTTGAGAACAGGATTTCAGAATCAATGGCTGTTGATAAAACTACGATTTAGTTTTAAACGATGCAAACCGTTCGTCAGTTGCCCAAACCCTAAATCTTTTTCTTATGACTTTCATTGTCACTAGATGTCTCTATTCTCCACAGTTACAGTATGAAAAATTATTTGGACACAGTTAATATAAAACATAGCTGAATACAAGCCATGTAAATTCTAAATCACTGGTTTAAAATCTGCATTCACATTTGCCAGCAGTTGTGAGCTAGATTACTGGCTTTCAGTATAGTTTGAATGGACTGCACAACGACAGTCACAACAGCTGCCTACAAACAGAGTACCTAAGACTATTGACAACAGTTCATAAGGTGTTCCTGTTCAAAAGTTTCAATTCATGGTCAAATCACTGATATGTGGTGAATCTCTGTTATCCAGGAACATGAATTATATTATTTGAGTATGTGAAAACTCTGTAGGATAAAACCTTTGAATGCTTAGACTCTTTCTTGGATCTCTTTATGGATAGCCTAACTAATTGGCTTATGTATTAGCTATTAATATGAGCATATATAGATAGGCAAACACATATTGTCCAACTGCCAAGTATGCTCTCATCTTTTCTTTCTAGGATTTTGGGTTTCACAATAAAACAGTTATAAGGATTCTTATTGCCAGGAGTGAGATTGACCTGATGACCATACGACAGCGATACAAAGAGAGATACGGGAAATCACTCTTTCATGACATTAAAGTAAGTTTTTAAACACCTTTGAGTATACTCAGCAATGGCACCACACAGGCTGTGCCAAGCCCTACCACAAAAATACAGAGGGTTAATCTCCCTTCCATCACTCAGTTTACAAAAAAAATAAAAAAAAAGAGCAATGGGTAAAAAAAAATAGTTTATCTTAGAATCATAGAATAGTTAGGGTTGGAAAGGACCTTAAGATCATCTAGTTACAACCCTCCTGTCACAGGCTGGGACACCTCACTCTAAAACATGCCACCCATCTTCTCAGTGCCTGAAGCTGACTTCAGTCAGGGCACAGTGAATTCTCAACTTACTCTCATTCTGTGTGATTTTGTCCCTCCCCTATAGCAAGAGGAGGATATAAACAGGGTAGGAGAGTATATGTTGAGGAGTAGCCTGCATTAATAGTTTCTACACTACTTGGTACCACCTTCTTTCACACAGTCTGATAAAGTTTGTTTGAGATCACTTTTGTCCAAAACTGAGATAAAAATCTGCATTTATGTAGTCTTAATCTTTAGAAGAATTATTCCTCTTGTACTCTTGCTATGACACTGTTTAATTGTACAAAAATGACCCTTGCTAAGACATTTTACCTTTTTTATGTTGCTCTAATCCAACTGTAAGCGTTCAGTAGCTCTAAGAAATTGCTTGTGATGTTTTGGTATTGAACTTGAGAAGCATTAAACAGATTTGCTCCTACCTTTCAGAGGCAGGATGCCTCTAGGTGGCCAAGCAGACAAAGCCCAAGGTATGTGAAATTAAAAACAATCTTAGCCTGGAATTCTTGGGAAAACAGTGCAGTATTTTACAAAACCCCACATCATCAGTCTAGTCCTTGTCACACACCAAGAAAATTAAGAAAACATACAGTTACAGAAATGTTCCTTTTTTTTTCTTGCAGCATTTTGCTTCAGGGCATTATGAGAGTGCTTTACTTGCCATATGTGCTGGTGATGCTGAAGATTACTAAAGAAGATGAACTTTGAAGACTGTATAAATCTATTCTAAATAGAAACTGAAGCTATTCATAACACACTAACTGTAAGAGATCCCTATTCTGTTTCTAAAAAATGAGAACAGAGTAGTTCTGATTTTTTTTAAACAGAAAAAATCACTGCTATACATTTGCTAATATTAGATCTTTCTTGAGATAGGAAAAAATGTTGGCAGGATCATGATTCTTATCTCCGGTTCTGATGAATATTTCTGTTTCTATGATTAATGTAAATTAATGAAGCAAGAATTAAAATAACTGCATGTACAAGTATGTTTATCATTTAGTCTCACAACTTCCCAAACTTTACATGACAATAGTCTCTGGAAGAACCTACTCACTTCCACACTGAAGAAAAGCTTTGTTTTACTTACTTTTAGCAACACAATTTCTCCCTTTAAGTAATTTCTTTCACGCTTCTTATACCTCATGTTTTATCCTCTTAAATATTTAGTTACTATCAAACTAAGAACCTACCCCATTCTATTGAGAGTGCTTTTGTATTCACATAGTTACTAACATTTCCTTCTTTCCATTTGAAACTAAAGAAAATATTGAAATCAAGTATGCCAAACAATTCTTTATTTAGTGCCACTCTGGAAACCCCTGGAAGAGGAAGCATTATATAGCTTTGAGAGAATTCTAGGAAGATTAAACATTTAAATTCCATTTGCGTTTCTCTCATTTTAATAATTAACTGAGTATCAGCCTTCAGAGCACGGAGGTATTTCCAGGATGCCCCAGATGGTATAATTAAGGAGCTGAATAGTAGTAGGTAACACACCTCCAAATGAGATTGTTCAGTGTGGAGAAGAGAGGACTCTGCGGAAAGCTTGTTGCGGCCTTTCAATAAATAAAGGGCATTGTAAGAAAGATGGGGGGAGCCTTTTTACCAAAGCCTGTAGTGACACAGCAAGAGTCAACGGTTTACAACTGAAAGACAGAAGACTTAGATTGGACATTAGGAAGAAACTGTTTATAATGAGGGTTCTGAGACACTGGAATAGCTTTCCCTGTTAGTGGAAGATGTGGATGCTCCATTATCAGAAGTGTTAAAGACCTGATGGGCATCTGAAAAACCTTACCTAATGAAAGATGCGCCTGTCCACAGCTAGGGAGTTAAGGTGACATTTAAAGGTCCCTTCCAACCAACACCCTTCGATGAGTTTGTAAGTCTATGCCAATATGTCAGCATTAACACAACCCCAAGCTTAAATTACATTATGATCTTACAGCTGTAGTTACAGGCAGTCAACACCGGCCGTACCTCAGCCCTCTGCAGTTACTCGGCTCTAGCTCTGCGCACTCGCACGTCTCTCAACCGCCACCGCCGTGTTGGCGCCGCGCTTCCACAGAGCGCAGCCCGAGGCAGCCTCTCAGTGCTCGAGGCAGGACCCCCGCACAGCGCCTGTCCCAACACGGCTGCGGCGGTGCCAGGGCCCGGCACGCGGCCCTCACGCACCTGCCAGGGGGCGGGTCCCAGCACTCACCGCCCCGCCCGGGGCAGCGGTCACGCACGGACAACCCCGCGCCACGGACGGCCCCGGCTGCCCTGACTGGACAGCAGCCGTGTCAATCCCGCCTTTCCCCCAATCGCCAGCGCGACTCTCCTTGCCCCTGTCCTCGCGGCCGGGTTCCACTTCCCGGAAAGTTGGCGGTTGGAAGCGGAGGTTGAAGTTGGACGCTTGAGGGGTATCGGGGTCTCTCCCCGGGGCCCGCCGCCTCCAGGCGGGGCCGCTCGTTGCCGCCACGCTGGAGGCGGCGGGACGGCGCGACGAGCCGGGGGCAGCCTGCGAGCCGGGCCCGGTGCAGCGGGGCGAGTCGAGAACGCCTAGTCGGGTCGCCTGCGAGCCCAGGCAGCAGGAGTGGCGGCCCCGTTCTCGGCTGCCCACCTACTTGTTGCAGATGGAGGCCAGCCTGACGTGCGCCGTGTGCCTGTCTCTCTTCGAGGAGCCGGTGACGCTGCCCCTTTGCTCGCACAACTTCTGCCGGGACTGCGTGCTGGAGTGCCTGGCTTCGGCCGAGGCCGCCCGCCTGCAGCAGCAGCGGGGTCAGGGCCAGTCCCGCCACTCCCGGGTGGGTTCGGGCGCTGGCAACGACGTGGCCGGCGCCCGGGTGTCGTGCCCGCTGTGCAGGAAGCTCTGCCCGCTGCCCCGGGGCGGTGCCGCCGCGCTGCCTGTCAACACCACCCTGGCGGAGTTGGTCAGGCTCTACCGATCCGGCACGGCCGGGACCGCCAAGGCCGAAGAGGCAGAGCAGGGGCCGGGGTTTCCACTCTCCCTGCAGGCTCTCGGGGGAACCTGCCAGAAACATCCGGGACGGCTGGTGCAGCTCTACTGCCGGATGTGCCGGCAGGCGGGGTGTGGGCTGTGCGTCTCTAAGGAGCACCAAGGCATCTTCCACTCCGTCAACCTCATAGACGCTGTGTACCAGGAAGAGAAAGTAAGTGCGGCGCTTCCTCTCCGCGCCAGGGCTCCAGCTGGGAGGTTGGGCGCTCCTACAGTGTATCCTTCCTTGCCCGAGGTGCTTCTACTCAGAAATGCAGGGGAAAATGCTGTGTAGTGGGCAGGCGAGAGGCAGCGAGGGATTGTGCCTCTTTGAACCAGGTGGTCGGATTTGCTTGTGGAGTACCGGGGTGTGCAGTCAGACGTCATCCACCACATACAAGGGACCAGGCGATTTACAGTGCCAACAGATCTGAACCCAAATTAAAAAGCATCTGAAAAGTGGGGGGGGAGGGGAATGAAGGAGGGAGTGTCTTGTTTTAACATACAGACCTGCATTCTTCGCTGATAAAACACACCGATGCTGAAAGTTTATTGCATGTCCAGATCCAGTTTTTCCAAGTTCAAAACAAAAGCCCCACCCACAGATACTTTGTTTATAGGCTGTCTAAGCTGGCGTAGGTAATTTGGGTCACAGATAATTACATATTTAGAAACAGATGGGTTAGGTAACTAATAATAAATGTAAAACCAAAATGCACTCCTGTGTGAATGAATGAAGAAAGCAACTGCCTTGCCTAATGTTTGGTTGGCTGACTGTAGTGACAAGTGGTTGTGCTTTTTGCCAAAATTAGGTAGAATGAGCTTTTTGTGCCCTATGCAAATGGGGTGCAGGGTGGCAAGGCGTGCATCGGTTCTGCTATGCAGTATTGGAAGCTGCTGCATGAAGCGTATAGATGTAAAGGTTTAAGTACACTACTGACTATTCTTTAAGCCAAGAGCTGCTTTTGCACTGATTTCTCTCCCACCTCTCCCATCACCAATTACACTTCACTCTGGAAACCCAGGGGAAATAGTCTTTGCAGTAGGCTTCTTACCTAAATCTTAATGGCACTGTAGTGAGATGAAGAAAACACAGTGATAATCTTAGTTCAAAACCAAACAGTAACTGGGTTGTGCACAGCTTTCTGTGTTATCAGTGTGAAGCATAAAAGCCTGTGAATATGGTTTAGTTGCTTGTCGAACTGGAATAACAGTGTTAACACTTACATTGAGATAGATACGTGTGTGAGGGGAGAGGTGGAAAACTAAGGCTGAGGGAACCAATGTTTTAACTATAACCCTGTAGCAAGTCTAGCAATATGTATTGTAGGTGAGCATTCCTTGGAGAGAGAAATAGCCAAAGAATTTTGTGTACTGAACCAGGAAAGCGCTAAATGCTATTAAGAGATCTTTTGAATCACAGGCTTTCTTTAATGTGTTGTACAGAGCATGCCATGATATGATCGTAGATTACCACTGAGATGTATTTACTTTATGGAGTAGATAAAGCAATGATAAGCATTTCAATTGTCTTGCAGTTAATCTTCTTCAGCAGTCTGAAAAAAATGAGAACAATAAATGAGAAGCTGACGAATGAAATCTCAAATCAACTGAATGATATGGATGTGAGTTACAGATGCTGGATATTATATATATGTGTGTGTCTTTGTTTCTTTTCTTACGGTAGGTTAATCACAACATGGGGCATACTGGTGCTTTTTTGTGGCATAAATGTGCTCTGAGCTTCCTCAGGGAAGTGACTCCTAGTGACTCCTCATCCTGACTAGGGAAGTGTCTAAAGACATTATTACTGTGTTTTCATCTGGTTTTATGTTTTGGTGCTTCTAGATGGTGCTGAACAAGGACGCTGACATGATTGCACTGGAATTCGGAGAAATCTTCAAGACTCTGGAAATGAAGAAACAGCAATTGCTAGAAGATGTTGAAAATCAAAGAAGTAAAAAAGAAAAGGAATTTGCGATTTGGAAGAAAATGAAGGAAACTCACAAGAAGACCATAGAAAATTTTCTGAAAGATTGTGAGGAGCTTGTCCATGAGTGTGATCCTCAGCGTTTCCTAGAGGTGATGGCCTTTTTCTTATCATTTAATATCAGTTGTATAATGAACCTCAAATATAGCCTCCTGTATTGTAGGTTATGATTATGAAAATTACTGGATCAGGGAAAACAAATTCAGCAAACGAAAAATACAGACTAAAATTATTTAACACTTCATATTTTTTATAACAGTGCTTTTCATTTTAGAAAAGTTGAAAAAACTGTCTTTGCAGCTTATATTTAGTGAGTTCAGTAGACATTTAGGCTGTTCACTGAAAACTACTTAAATTGACTGTAAAGGGGCTGCTGTAACACTTGCTATATTATATTAGCAGCTGTGAAAGTTTTGGTGCAGATAGGGAGCAATTTTCTAGTACTGCATTCAAAATTCTCCCATTTACTTGCTTTTTAATATTTATTTTCAAGTGCTTTGTTAATTAAGCACTTCTGTTGCATCTTTGAACTTGTAAGACACTAAAAATGCTGTTTGGGGAAAGATTGGTGGCAGGTTGGTAACTTGTCAGTGCTGCACAGCAGGGTACCATGTTGGGTTACCCAAACTAAGGCAATTATATTGATTCTGAAACCTGTGAACTTTGCACAAATGTGTGCAGTGGAAATAACTCAGCCTATTTAAGGCTAGCTTAGGTAC